TGAAAGTTGGTTCCCCAAAATAAAAATCAAGTGAAAGTTGGTTCCCCAAAATGACGATTTTGAAAGTTGGTTCCCCAAAATTGAAATCAGATAAAAGTTGGTTCCATTTTGATGCAATTTTCCCATTTTATTTTATTTTCAATTAAATATCATTATTTAATCATAATATCTATTTTCTAACCTATTTCTCTCTCGTCTGTGAAAGAAAAACTCTAATAATCAATCATCATGTCCGTCTCCAACACAACACTCCAACTCTCCATCGATTGAGAGGTAAAATTGAAACTTTGAACAATTTATTTGCATTCGTGATTGTGGATGCGTTTTATTCAAACGCTGAACAATTCATTTGTATTTTTCATAAAATTAAATATTCTTATATTTTTTTTAATTTAAAAAATTAAAAATTAAATGGGTCAATCCATTTATTTAACAAGTTAGGTTGAGAAAATCATAAACAGGTCAACTGTTGTCAACCCATTATTGCCCCTAATACGAATAACTGCTTATGGGTTATTGAACGATATCGGTGGAGGAATCACGGTAGATAACTATTCGTCAACGAGATATACAAGGATGGGTGAAGACGTTGAATCACAAAAGAATAACCTTGAAGCTTTAATCTCGAGAATGGAGGCAATCAAACATGCAGAGCAGTTCACGAACTCAAGAATCTAATGGAAATGGTCTCAAAAAAGTAAGTTAGGGGACATTTACAAAAATTTTACTTGGGTAAGCGCTTACCAAGTCACATCCCCTTACCGGATGAGTATGGCAAGGACCAAGAATCTTAACCAGTAAAAGCGAACGCAATGACCGAGAGTCTACCAGTAAGTGACTCTTACCATGGTTAGTACTTACCGGGTAAATATGTCGTTTTGATAGACTAAAATCTTACTCTATAAGTAAGTGATAAAGTTAAATTTTACCATTAAACGCTTACTGAGTAAGTGTTCAGGTAAACAACCCTCTAGTCAAAAATTTCAAGAGGTTCATGTGGAAAATTTTGATGCAAAAACTTTTAACTTCACATTTTGCAAGCCTTCTTACTAGGGCCAAACCTGCAGAAAGAGGAGGGGGTGCTCCGAATTAGGGTTCAGACATCCATGTCTATTAAGACACATACCAAACTGAAAGAAAACAATCCCACCCAGGGACGGACCCAGAAAAATTTTCAAACGATGACACCATATAATTAATACAATATAATATACATCTAAAAATAATTACAAAAAATATGGTTTTTATAGTACCGATAAACAACTCCTAAACTTGTACCCGACGCATCTTCATCTTTTGAAAACGATCAATATATACCCAAAAATAATTACAAAAAGTATGGTTTTGGTTATTTGGGCTTTGTTTTGTTTGGGTTTTAATTGCACCATTTGGATTTCAGGGAAATACGGTAGCACCTTCTAAAACGATACAGTAACACCGTTAACTAACCTAAATTTTTTACCCTTCGGCCGCGAAATAATACGGTGGCACGTGCCACCCATGCCACCACACCAGGTCCGCCCATGATCCCACCAGATCAAACTAATTTTGAAGTTGCAAGTCATATACATATACATATACATATACATATACATATACATATACATATACATATACATATACATATACATATACATATACATATACATATACATATA